CCCTCCCCCCGCGCTTCGCGCGTTGGTTCCACCCGGCTGCGGGGACAGGGCCGCCCCGGCCGCCGGGGGGCGCAAGGGAGCCCGTGCCTGGAGCGCCCCCTAGCGGCCGCGCAGCACCAGGCCGCGGCGGGGGCGGCAGCGCCATCTTGGCGGGGGCGGCGGCTGTGGGGGCGCCCGGGGCGGGCAGCGCTCCGTGCCCAGAGTGCTCAGTACCCACAGACCTCGGTGCCCTAAGCATTCAGAGCCCACAGTGTTCAGTGCCCACAGACCTCGGTGCCCACAGCGTTCAGTGCCAATAGGACAAGAGGACATAGTCTTAAGTTGTGCCAGGAGAGGTTTAGGTTGGACATTTGGAAGAATTTCTGCACATAAAGAGTGATTAGACATCGGAAGGGGCTGCCCACGGAGGTAGTGGAGTCACTGTCCCTGGAGGTGTCCAAGGAAAGACTGGTCTAGTTGACATGGTCATGTTTGGTCACACATTAGCCTCAGTGGTCTCTGAGGTCTTTGATTCAGTGATTCTGTGCCCCACAGCCCTCAGTGCCCACAGCTCTCTGAGCCCACAGCCCTGCTAGGCTTCTCAAATAGTGACTAAAAGTCATGTCTATCAGTGAGTATCAATGAGTTTCACTGAGTGACCCTCAGAATGAATTAAGAAAAGGGGCAGGGAGGATTGTGTCTCTGCTGGCCTTAATATTAATACCTGTTCTTAAGCTTGGGAGTGTTTCCAATGCTGGGAAATATTTCTATTCATGCATTCAGTTGCATTTGGCTGGAAGCCAAGGTATGAATAAGGTGCATAAATCTATACTGGGGTTTGTGTCCATGGTGTTATATTTCTGTAGGCTTCTATATTATATAAGCAAGGCCATCCAAGGATAGCTGAGACTTCATTTTCTCTGCTAAATTTCTCACACTGCGTTAAAACCTCTTGCACTGCTTGTAAGTAATTGAGAACTAAAGAGAAAGAAGGAGAAAACCATTCTAATTGTATGAAAACATGAGTGACAGTTGGACAAGAAAAGAGACAAGTTCATACTGCTCTAGAGTTTACCTGGACACTGTGTGCTTTTCATGAGAAAGCTAAGAAATAAGTAAAGCAATTTTTTTTGTTTCCCTTCCCCCTCTTCACAGTCTAAGTCAGCATTTCTGGTCTTCCTCAGGCTCCTATGGCATGGGAGGCATTCCCAGGGCAAGAGTCTGTATGTCCTACTAAAACCAGATAATGCCTCGATCACCTCAGACTAAAAGAATGAAAACTCTGATCAAAAGGAACTAAACTTTCATTTATTCAAATTAAAAGAATGTTGTAGAATCCTAATTTTCTGCAAATTGGCTTATTTAAAATGATACAGGAAACTAGTGATAAAATCCATGTCCTTGCTTTTACTATTTAATTATATTCTCTTTGCATGCAGTTTGCTTTTTCTGATCAAAAAACTGCTCCATATGTAAGAGGAAGCTAAAAAGAGATCCAAGTTCAGTCAGAAATCTGAGGCACAGATAGAATAGCAGAGTTCTTATCCCAGCTGATGAACAGTGTGAGTTCAATGACTTAGAGAGTCAGGTTCAGAGGTATCAATTGGGGTTTCAGATCAGAGTTGCAGATCAATTTGCCAGCAGAAACACACTGGCATTAGAAAATCCTAAACACTGTGAAAGTTACCCTGATTTCAGATACCCTTACTGAATAACTTGATTCAGGAATTTCATTCTTTTTCACTAAAGATGCATATATTTGTGATTGCAGCTTGCAGATGGAAACAGTGAGAATTGAGTCAAATAAATCCTTGATGGGAATGTCTTGAAATTTGCAGGCTTCTGTCACTGGTAGAAATGAGGATGTGACACCATCATGGAAGAATATGATCTGTCATTCTAGTCTGTTTTTCACTATGTGGAGATGGAATACTTTAGCTGTGATTGAAGTTTCACTATGATTTGGTTTTGGCTGAATCTTAAAAAAAAAGGTATGAATGTTCAATCAAGAACGACAATCAAATGAAGTTTTCACTTTGCCAGGCACATCCTGCAGCCACGTGTGCTCGGCGTTTGCAGGGTGCCAGCTGTCACAGACCACTGAGACCTTGATTTGAGCAAAAGAAGACAAAATTACTTTTGTGGAAACTGAATTTTGAAACTTAGTATTGCTGGAAGGCGTGTGAGCTGCCCAGCTATCACAGGAATCTGTGACCCCTCCTCTTCCCTCTGTGCCACAGGAACTCATTGTCTCAGTTGCTGTCCCTCAAAGAAGCAACAGACCAAATCCATTGCTGCCTTAGGAACCGAAGACTCATTTTGGCAGACTTGCAGGAGAGATGAATATGGATTACTGACCTCTTGTTGCTGTGGAGAACTGTGGAAGGAATGATTGATTATCTGCTGCATTAGCAGCAGGAGAGAGACTGCAGGTCACTCCTTAGCTAAGTGGTATCATTTAGCTCTTAAAAAAAAAAGGCCAGATATGTGCATTTTTCTGCATCTCTTTAAATAAACATTAGCAAAGAGGAGCTGTAGATGGTCATACAGGCTGGACTGTCAGAGGGGCACATTGTATGGAACATGAGGGTGTTCTGCACTAGAATGTTGATACAGCATGGTCTTGAATGATGTCATTTATTCCCATCACAGAGATGTGAGCACAGCTTGATTTGGAAGGCAGTCAGCCCAGCAGTTTGTCACTGTGTCTTTAGGACTCCTTGCCAGTAGCAAACCAGCTGTCAAGGAAAAGGTGTGTTGCTCCTAAGTAAAACATTTTACATCTGAGAAGTTCAAAGCAGCCTTTTCCAATTATTTCATGCGGAGTTCTTTTCCCCACCATCTCCTCCCCTGAGCAAACAATTTCTCAGCACCAGCACAACGTGTGCATTACTAACACGTGCCCCAGTTAGCTGGCATGTAAAAGAAGAGATCTATTGTTTTAAAAGATCCTTTTTCCCCCCCCATGGGCCATTACTTTAACCCTTTGTTTTCTAAAATCTTCTATGTACTCACTGCTGGCAGATTTTATGGTTAAAGTGAGTAGCTAATGCTTGACATGAGAAGAAAGGATCAAATAAAATAGACTTAAAACTTCAGCAAAGGCACCATGCAGAGAGCAGGAGAGTGCTGGACAGGCATTTGGAGCCAGGCATCCCTCACTGGGAAGCAGGTAGGACTGAACTGCCTGTATAACTGTGGTCAGCCCTGCAGTCCTGGCTTTGCTTTGACACTGCACTATTGGGGTCATTTTACAGTGCAGTTGACAGATTCCTTTTGTTATTTTTACATAAACTTTTAAATTCTAAACAAGCCTGCGAATAGCAAAAGAAGACTGATGTTTCACTGATTATTCAGATTATTGAACTTTTGGGTCAACCATCTAAAAATCCAAAGGAATGTTTCTTTTTTTCCTGAAAGAAAAACTTATAGCATTTTATAGTCTAAGGTATCATTTGCTTTAATGAACAGTGAGAAAAGTTTGCATCTTCACCACGCAGTAACTCATTAACTGCTCAGATCTCCGTTGCGAGTTTGGATACAATGGGATGTTTCAGGTGCTTGATGTGCTGTTGATAAGAGGGTTTGCATGTAGATCCCAGAGCGATACAGCCCCGCGCTGCCGCTGCCGGGCTCTGCCCCAGCATCCAGCTGTGCCTGTTTGGAAGCCAACGCCTGGCTTCCCTCCAAAGCCCGGATTCTGACAGGGGGCTCCAAACCAGCTGCAGCCTCCCGCTTTTCCCAGTGACACGTCTGTGCGCACACACCTACCTTTGACCTCTCCTGGTTTGTTTTGTGGCAGCAAACACCCGAAATTTGCTCAGCTAATACAATAGCCCTGTACTTTTTGACAGAAACGCCTGTGGTTAACCTCTGTGGGCTGCCTGCTGCAATAAAATGAAGGGTGGTAGAAGTTAAACAATGGGTGTGACTACCACAAGATGGGTGTTAGTGGGAAAGTGGTGTAACATCCACTTAGCATTCCAGAGATGTGAAATATAATTATGATTTAAATGCCAAAGATGTAAGTTGCAGGATGAGTAACTACAAGGACATGAAAGCCTTCCTTATCTTCCTTTCTATCCCACTCAGAATCATTTTGCACACCCACAAAACTAATAAAAGTAGTGTCACTTGATGAAATTACACCTGATACATGACTTGTACCATCACTTACATTTCTGTCAGTGTGGGCTCTGTTTGCACCAAAGAAAAAATTCCAATCTCATTTACAACATTTTAAGTTGGAAGTAATTTTGCTCTCAGTGGAATTATTCTCTATTTATACTCCCACTCAGATCAGAATCTGACCCAGGCTTTGAATTTTGTCTTATTTGCTCTCATCTTTTCCTATGACAGGCAGGGGTCCTCAATCTGTAAAGGGCTCCTCACACCTACATTTATGTATCTTTGCAGAAATGGCTTTTGAGCAGGTCAATTGTTAGAAATTGTCAACTAAATCAGCCTGGGAGCAGCTGGTTGCTGAGTGTACATGAATAGCTGCTTAATGTCTTTACATCATCCAGCATATGTGGGAAGGAGAGCAAGAATGCAAAAGCGCAGCCCATGCCTAGACGAGGCACTACACAGTTCTGTAGCAATTCCAACACAGAGAAGTTAAAGAATGAAAGAGTAAGTTCTAGATAGGGCAGTGGAACAACTGGTGGGGAAAAAAGTTAGTTCTAAACTTTTCAATAACATCTTTATAAACAGATACTCGGTATGTTTAAAATCCAAGAGCAGAAGGTGTGATCAGCTCTGAACAAAGGGCTTGCGCTGTCCCAAGTTGTGGCCTTGGAAATTGTCTATGTAGATCAGAAATGAAACTTCTATTTTAAACATTTTTTCCCCTAACATTGTTCCTCTTGTTTTCTTTATGGATTACATGAGAACCTAAGGTGAAAGTTTCTAGCACAGTACTGCCTTTTATTAGCTGTCAGCAGGGAACAAAGAGTATTATCAGCTCCACAAAGGTGACACCTTCAGATAAAAGCACAGGGGTGAGACCAGGATTTGGACTCAGCTTGTGCTTGGTCAGACCTTGTAATTGAACTGTTTGTTTTCTGTACAAAATATGCATGGGGCAGGGGTAAGCAGTGATTTTTCAGATATATGTTCATCTGTGGCTTTGTGTCTGACTAATTTCATTGCCTGAAGTGGAGCTGTAGAGTGGATAAATTGAAGCACTTACTCGATAGTGTTTGATGAGCTGGGACTACTTAGTTATAATGTTGTAGATATTTGTTTCCTAGAAATACCATAAACATTTACTAGAAACACTTTCTAGTGTTTCTGGGTAGGAAGAACAATTTTCCATCTGGGGGGAAAAATATGATTAGTTAAACATGTTAAAATACAAATAGCAAAATAAAATTGTTCTCTCTTACAAACCAGAGAAAAAGAGTTCATGAAACCATGAAAGTCTTCAGATCATAGCAACAGTTAAGACAAAAAAGCCTAGGATTTAATAGTTTGGGATTTTTTACAATGAAGAACTATGGGCCAAATCCTGTCTTCATGTTAGTATCAGTAATTCCAACTTTGGTGAATGTCTGGAGCCACAGGAGGTCCGTTCTGGTCAGTCACTGTGGCGGAGGCAGCCACTCAAGAACGGAATGGCCTGGGAAGACTTTGGCTCAAGCCCCTCTTCCACAACCCAGAAAAACAGGAATTGCCACAGACTGCAAGGAGATGAGTGTTAGCACATTGCCACACTTCCCACAGTAGTTTGGGTGCATGCATTAGAAAGCAGCTTTTCCTCATGTGGGAGGAAAAGAGGGAAAGAGCACTCCCTCCAGAGGGCAGCTCAGGCTATCTGAATTACCCTGCTCCAAACTGTCCTCTGGAGGAGCCATTCCCAGCACACAGGTCTGATTTCAGGATAGATTCAGCCACAGTCATTAGGGTTCCAGGTTGGCAAATGGATCCTGAGACAGTCAGATAATGTCCTGTCCCTGACACTTGTTCCTCATTGCATCCATACACTTACTTGGGAGTGCTGCTGCATCTTCCTTTGGGACAGTAAAGTGCCTTTGACAGTTGTGGTGCCCCAAAAGCAGAAGTCATTGTTTCTGTTAACTTAATCCATGTCAGAAATGTTGTTATTCCAGAAGTGGATTTGTCTCAGGGATATCTGTGGTCCAGCATGAAATAGTGTAACCATTTATATGATAAAATACTCAATTACATAAAACAAGAATAGGATTTCATTCTTTCTTCTGACAAATATTCTTATCACACCTGGAGGCTGATTCAGTGGGCTCAGCAGGTACACAGCTCTCTGAAAATCAAGACATTCAGGACTTTCCTAAATCCACAGTTAGTCTGCCTCTCCTGCAGTGCTTAGATAAAATAGCTTTCATCACCTTTTCATCACATCAAACTCCAGCTGAATCATTACTGCCTGCTGTCACGGTACCACAAACAAGCTTCTCAGCCCCTGAGGCCTACACAGGTTTTCATCAATATCGTGGTGGGTTTATCATGTATTTCATTCACAGATTTCAAGATGCTTTGCAGAGATAGGGTCAGCACTGGTACAACAACGTCTCAGGAAGGGGGGCACTTAGAGTTTCGGTGACTTGCCCAATGTCTGTTGCAAAACAGCCGTGAAACAGAACCCAGGCATTCTTGTACCAGGCTTGTGATTCAGCAAAGCACTAAACCAAGTGCTTAACTTTGAGCATGAGCTCAAGCTGTTTGAATGGAGACAGATTTAAGTATCAGTTTAAATACTTTGCTGGACTGGGTCTTCAGCTTTCAACAGCTAATTATTGTTTGCAGCTATTTCAGGGTTTTTTCATACAGCTCAGCATATTTTTAGATGATGGAAATATTTTTAAACTAATTCAATGGTGTGAAAACACGTACTGCTTGCTGGCCTTTTAGCAACTCAGATGGTTCATGCATATGTTTGGGGGTTTGTGTTGTCTTTTCTAGATGACCCCAGCAACTCGACAAAAAGTTCTTGGCCTTTACCGCAAGATATTTCAAATAGCCAAAAAATGGCAGTCGGCATCAGGACAGACAGAGGAGACTATTAAAGAGAAAGAGTACATTAAAAATGAGGCCAGAACATTATTCCGAAAAAACAAACATGTAAGTGTCCTTGCAGTTTTGAATTTCTTGCTCTTTGCTTCTTTCCTCTTGCTCTTTGCACTGTCACAGTGATTGGATGCAAAGATACAAATATAAGAACCGAGTTCCCAAAATTTGATTCACCTTAAATGCTTTGGGTGTATTTGGGTTATAATTTAAATTTCATCCTTGAGAAAAGTCAAACCATTTCAGCTCTTCATTAACTGCTGTAGAAGTCTAAAAGGTCTCTTTTCACTAAAAAAGTGCCAAGAAAAATTAAATTCCAAAGATACTGCCTGTGTAATTGAAGCAGCTTTTGATCTTTACAAAGTTAGCTAAGTGTATCATTACCCATGCAATGGCAGACAGAGCTCAGCAGCTTCTTTTTTTCTTTTCAAAGCAGCAATTATTGGCACTTCTTTTAAAAGAAGCACTTTAATTTTTTTTCTTAAGGAAGAAATTTCAAACCCCTTTTGAAAGAGGCGATACAGACTCCATGGTAATCAAAGGTCCTTCTTGTAATTCAAGATCACAATTTTTATTTATAGCCCATATTGCTCTGGGACTAAATTGAAGTAATGCAAAGTCAAAAAATTAATTTAAGTCATAATTTACACTACATTTCTGACTTCAAAGGGAGTTTCTGGATAGGATGATAAGAGAATGTGCACCAAGGAGTGTCTTTCCTTTCTCCTTTAGCTACCTCACAGAGTGATGGATGGGTGAGTGTGGCTTTTTCATGGATGTATTAGTAGTTTACATGTGTATTGTCTTTTTACAGAGAAAATACCATGTTTGGGTAAAAAACTCCTCCTTTAGCCTCAGTCCTGACAGCCTCTGGGCCTTAACATCCAGCGCCATCACGCCCAGAGCTGTTGAGTCAAGGAAAATACTGATGTTACCTTTTATGGATGTGAACAATACAATCCTTGTATCCTTGGGATTGCCAGAACAAGCTAAAGAAAGTCACGTGGCTGTGCATCATTTACACTTGAGCTTCCAACTGCTAATTGCTGTACTTTTACAAAATATTTGTTTGTATGATCTTAGGTAACAGATCCAAAGCTGATTGAGCAGTGCATAGAAGAATGTGAGGCAAGAATAGAAATTGGACTTCACTATAATATCCCCTACCCGAGACCTGTGAGTACAAATCCAGTCACAAAGTCTTCAGCATTACCCTCTTAGCTCTCCCTGCACAATGAAACCATGAGTTTACATCACTGTCACTGCACTGCATTTTTAGATGAGCTGGCATTTAAATGTGTGCTAAATCAGAGCCAAGTGTACATTGAAACCTTCTCCATCTATCTTCTTTCACTGTAAATTGTCGGGTTTCTTCTCAAAATAAGGAGTCAAAGCCTAAATGGAGTTGTGTGAGCCAAACTCCCTAGGCCTGTGAATATTTAGCCAGTCTTGTCTGACCAAAGAATTTAGAAAAAGATGGTAATGGAATCAAATAATAAACAAGAATGAGAGAATAAAAATACTTAATTACATCTGCCATAGATACGATAATTTTCATAGCCTACATTACTGGTCATAAATCAAGTCCTGTGGAAACACTTGTCTATGTTGCTGCTTCTTTTTCCTAGAGAAAAACATACCCAAGATTACTGAAATACTGGAAGTTGCAGCAGTGTCTTCTATTGCACCACTCAATACAGTTTCCTCCCTGCCCAGTCACTTTTGTCTGTAGTAGTTTATATTGCCTCCCATGGAGACTTCCTCTCTACTCCTGTTAATTAGTTTATATTTTCACATCTATAGTTCCCTGATCAATGCAGTCATGGTATCTTCATCAGATTCTTGCCTAAAATATGGTCACTGCCAGCATCTCTTTCACGATACAGAATTACAGAGCACATCTGGCAAACAGTGTTCCTAGAAATGAGCCTAAAATGTGTTCTCTGCAGTGGTTTCAAAACCCCAAAGGATCAGCTCTCTCAGACAAACTGGATGATTATTATTTCTGAGATTCTAGAAATCTCTACTCCTGCTTTAGTCAGTGCTTTTACTACTATTTGCACCTAAACAGCCATCTTACAGCCTGACAGCCTCAGCAACAATAACATCTGACTGCTACCACCTACGTTTTCCAGTCACTTAGGAGGGTTACAGCTGCATGACTCCCATGGAGAGTCTTATGAAATAAAAAGACTTTGTCAATCAAAGGAAGAGCCTGTCACCTATTGCTCCTTCTGCTTGTGGAGTCAATGACATTGATTGTGCATTTTAATGTGGCATATATAATCACGACAAAAAGAAGGCAGGCTTTCAATACATACAGTTTGGGGTTATTTTGTGACTTCTTAAGTAGGTATGAATAAATCACACAGTGCTTCAAGACACGTACTGAGGAATTTTTAGGATTATCTAGGTCTTACTGTTCTGGAACAGCAGTCCTATTTCAACAAGTATTTTATCATTACAGTCTGATATCAAACTGCAAAACAAGGTTACTAAGGCCTAAAACATAGGATTTTAATAAACACAACATTTAGGGCCTGAAAGTTACACCACTTAGATATTGCTCCTCCTAGAAATCTAATAACCTGGATTGAGACAATACACTTGCCCTCTCCAAAGTGTGAAGAAACTATTTAAATCTCAGTGACACCTAGTCTGTATATATGCTGCCTTTTTTTCTTCCCAGTTTGCTCCTAACTGGTGGGATTTTCTTTTCCAGATCCATCTGCCTCCTATGGGTCTCGCCCATAAACAAGGTCGTACGTTGCGACACCAGGAAAAGTTAAGGAAGATTTCTAAGCCAATATACCTGAAATCCCATGATGAAGTTTCATAACCCACCACTTAAGCTGTGATGTGTAATCACATCCTTTAAGCTGTGAACTGCAGTCCAGGTGATTTGTGTGCACAACTGTGAACTAAGGTGTTTTGGTCACTTGCTCACACATTTCCTGAGGCCAAAAAGCCAATTGATACATTGCATATGATGGATAAGGTTGGTCTATTATTTATTTATATTATTTTTAACCACTGACTCATCAATAAAAGTAACACTTTTCAAGGAGTGAGGTGTGATACAAAGATTACTTTGACATCAGGACAAATTACAGCAGGTTCTCAAACTCTATTAATCTATAGCAGGATTCTCTGGTGGTTTCAGGATTCTGTGTGTTCAGTTGTAACTCTAGGCTGTGCTTTGTGTAAGGGTCAGTCAAAATTAAGGAAGTCCAGGAGAATCAAGCAGATGCAGTGCCTCCAGATCTTCTGAACACAAGTGGGAACACAATGACTGCATCATGCAGCTGCTTTCCTTCCTCTCTTGTCCCTGCTCTGCCTGTTGTCCCTGGGGAAACGTTGCAGTTTCATAGTACCTCTGTGGTGAAGTTCTGTTTCTGAATGGGCAGTAGCAAAGACACAACTGAAGTGCCCACTACTCCTTTTTCCTTTTTGCAAACAGCAGAGGGATGGCCTAGAGCCTCCAAGTCAGCTTTTCCCCCTTCCTTTGGAGAGGGTGTGGATGTGAAATGCAAAGTTTGGAATGCCATTACACAACTCTGAGTAAAACATTCCAGTGTTGGGTTCCTCGGGTTCCCATTTATGGACTGACTGAAAACTCTCCCTTCAGAGTATCACTATGGAAACAAGCTTAGGATGCTTTGGTGTGAGGACCGTGTTTTCACATGGTCAGTCTTGCATAATCACCGTGGGGACTTTCTCAACGATTATTTTAACTTTAGTGTGAGGTTTTAACTCTTAGATTATGGACAGAACCCCAACTTTAGTAAAAGGAAGTATCTACAAGTCTCCAAAGTTTGAGGGGTATTTCTGTTTCACAGGTGCCTCTTGAATGGAATTTAAATGAAATTAATTTTCCTCTCGTTGGCCGTCAATTACTTTGCCTCATTTTCAGTCCTCTGACTTTAACAGGCTGTTCTTCAAGAAAGCTGGGGGAGCCTTTTGTCCCTCAGGCTGGAAGTGCCAATGAGACCAAGCTGTGGACAAGAGCCACACTGTACTGGATACTACCTAAGCACAGTCCACAAAACTTTAAGGAAAACCTATTCCAGCCCAAAGTTAATAGTGGCAAAAAAAAGCAAATTTTAAAAATGCAGTGTCTATGATTTCCTATTAAAGTAGGGGAAATCAGTGAAATCTCCTATTCTGAGATCTCCAATTCATCCTAAATTCTCCAAGCTCTAATAGGCAATGACAAAGAAATATTCTTGTCGACCTGAAAAGTGAGTTAGAACTGGTCATGTGCAGAACAGATTGACAGTCCCTACCCCAGGAATGCACTCCTAAGAGTGAAAAAAGCACAAGCGGATGAGAAAGTACAAGGAAACAATAACAGGAGTGAATCAGCATGACAGGTACTGGCTGGCCCAATTTCTCACTGCCCTTCATGGCTTCAGTCCACAAAGGTATCTATTTCCATATAGTTATTTCCTGGGAATGCTACATGTGGGAAGTAACAGGTAAAATGCCATTGTTCTGCCAGACAGTGGGATCTTTGCAAATTTAGTGCTGTCAGGAAGGCACAGAAGTCCTTTAGCCTAGGAAAAGGGGAATGGAATAAAGAGAGTAAAAAAATAACATGATTATACACACTACTTAATCCTTCACTGAAAGAAGTCCAAATACAGTCTTTTCCTACTCTCATTCTGATACACCAGTGTAGGCATGTGTCAACTGAGCCAAATCAAAATGTGCAGAGAAAAGGGGTTTGAAAGGAAGCTTAAGCTCCGTTTTTGCCATTAAAGTATCATTTGAATCTTTTGAATTGTTAAAATTCATGTGGTTAATGAAGGTGCTGATGCTGTGACACATCGGGTTAATAAACAGCTTTGTAAACAAGCAGTCTGAATTTACTGTCTGTGTTATAGTCACAACTCTTTCCTAAGCACATACCGTAAGATCTAGATTATTTCAAAAGAACATCCCTAAAATTACAGAAGATTTACACCAAATTGAAATAACAATATGAATTTGAGTTTACTACCGAAGGGAAATACAAATAAGCAATTTTAAAAAGGATCAAGTAGCCTTGATAACTCAAATGAGTTACTGCTTAACTGAGAAGCCAGCAAGTTGAACTGCAGTGACAGCATCACATTATTTGAGATGCCTTAAAATGCTAGAAAGCCTAATGATTTTTCAGAATTAGAGAAATTATTAACTAGTGCCTCATCCTCATTACTCTCCAGCACCAGAAAGCAAAGACTAAGATTTGTTAAAACCTCGGGCTGTTCAGCTAAAGGAAGGACTAGATCAGCACTTTTGTCAAGTCTGGAGAGAAAAACCTTTATTTTGCAGCTTAAGTTAAACTCTGTATGGAAAGGAAAATCTGCCTTAACTGGAGTCCTTTGTTTTTGGAGGTCAAACCATTTTGAGTGAGTTTCATAAAAAAAATATTCATCTGCAACTCAGTCCAGCAGGTCAGCAAACATCTCAACTGGTACTCTTGTATTAAATGCCAAGGACTGAATAGCTTCTGACAAGAAGTATCCCAATGATTGCCCAATATGTCATTCCTACACATTAATTTTACTTGCAAAAAGATGTTGTCCTAAAATGCCTCTGAGTTCTGCAGAATTTATAATGCACTGGATTCAACCAGTCAGTGTACACTCTGTCCTGTACTTCCTGAACTTTCTCTTATTCCCCTACCAGTAAATACCATCTCTTTCCAATTTATCACACTAGTCAGGAGATGCTTTAGCATGATTTGGAAGAAAAGATGACGTTAACTTTATATTTTTTAGAAATAAAACCCCTGAGTTAGTTGCATGAACCCTCCTGCAAGCTAACTGGTAGGCAATAAATTGCAGTAATAAGTTGTTTACATGATATCTGGTCTTGAATATCTAAATAACACCTCCTTTCTGGATGTTCTGTCCATAAATCCATCATTAGTAAGGTTGCATTTTATGAAGCCATGCACTTATGACTAACATTAGCAAGCACACAATAATTAAGGAAGATGCACTTGGCACCTGCTTGCTGGATGTATCCCTCAACATTGTCTGGGGGTGAGGAAAAGCTCATTATGCTGCAGCAGCGACCCAAGGGAAGCATTACAGCACCGAAACATGTTAAGATGGATTAGGTTATCTGCTCTGTCTCCCTATTAATACAAGTTTCTTCTTGTAATACCTTTTAGATCTGGAGAAAATAAGGCAACCTGGACCTCACTCTCTTGGGGCCCTACTATGTATCCAACAGAAATTAATATCAGTAACATCCACATTTTATCCACAGGTCACTTATTTGATCATAACTATAAATTCATTTTCAAGAATGCTAATTAGAGCAGAGACCTGCAACTTTCACTGATTTTTCTAATCCTACTAGGCAAAACATTCTAGCTATAAGTAGAAGAATTTGGGGCTTTTGTATGGTCTCTTGCTTTTTCATTGTATAATTTTCCCTTTAACAGCCCAACAACATTAAAATCAACAGAGACAGTACTTTCTGAAATGGATATTTGTACAGATAAGAGAAAGGTTTCAATCTCCTAAGAAAATGTACAAACCTATCTGTATTACAGCACCTCTAGCTGAAAATCTTTCTCTGCTAAGGCAGAAATATCTCTTGCTCCATAATGTCTGTACACTACATTTTTTTCCATCTGCATTGAGTGATTAGCAAGGCTGTGAATCTATGATTTGCAGTAATTATAGGCGGTTTTTGTGGTTTATTTAATGAGTGCTTCTAATTAAGAAATGGAAATACTAAACCTGTAAAGCCAGAATTCTAATACTACTATTATAAGGCACTTTGTCCAAAACTTTTTCACATTTTTATCATATCCAACTGGCAGCTGAGTTGTCTTTTTTTTTTTTTTTAAATACATCTCAGCGAAGAAAGTTGGTGAATTCTAACGTTTAGCCAGCTTATCATTCTCCAGGAAGGTCTAGACAATGCTCAGGAAATAAGGTTGGGAAGCTCATTTCAAAGAACCACAGAAAAATATCTCTAAGACAGATATCCCTTGACAGTAAATTCCATTACTTTTTCTCAAACAGGGAGGGCAGCCCAGGAGATCACATCCTGCAGTAATCATCAGCTAAAGCCACTCAGCCATGCCTGATCCCTGGCAAAGGGGCAAGCAACAGATGCACAAACCCTCCTTTAGGGACTCTTGTCTATATACTTTTGGTCACATCTACAAAAGCTTGAAATACATCTTTAATTACATTCCAAGAGATGCCTTCATATCCAATCTAAATGTCAACACAGAGGAAGCATTTAGAAAACCAACACGGTAACAAGGACATTGCACACTTGTAGTAGCAAAGTCACTATAAGTTCACAAGAACCACAAGTGTGTCATTTAATAAACTATCAATTACTGTTCACAAAATGGTGTTAACAAGAAACCCACGTGGCAAGCTATGACACAGATTTCCAACAGTTTAAAAGTAATTGATGTCCATAAAATATAATTTAGGTAGCAAATCTGACTTTTTTTTTAATGGCTTAATTTAGAGGACTGTGTTTGCAATACTAGCAAGAAGAAGCCTAAGAAAAAAAAATGTAAAGGACCAATTTTAATTAATTTATTTATAGATTTGCTGAAACATGATTCTCTTCTTAAAAATTGTTCTCTGTTTGGATGGCTGTGGTGCAGCATTCATAAACAAGTTTTGTTTTGCTATAAGTGCCAAATATCATTTAGTCTAATTTGTTAAGAGTAGTTGCTTCCTGTCAGTAATTTGAAACACCTGCACATCTCTGTCTCTTTTATTAAAACAAACATCCATGAAGTGAACTGGTCTGACATCTTTGCCTTAGTCACCATGTAACAATAATGATGCACCAAATGCCTGCACACTGTTCTGTTAATGAGGCATCAAATGTGCTCCATGATGATACTGTTTACCTGTGTGCATCTCTGTGCAGAGCAGCACTGCACAACATACCCTTAACACTCCTGGCTTACCATTCTTAACAGTTACTATTTTATGAATATCGGTATAAAACAAGCCAGTGGTTAATAAAACAATAATGAACACTGTTGTCACCTGTCACAGCTAAGCACAACACAGCAGATAAATTCCTGTGACAAGAACTGTATGTTTTAAAGAGTTGTAGCAGCGTCCCTTAATGCTTGCAGCAGGATACTGGGAATTGCTGAATGATGGCTGCATCTCTGACTTTATGAGGCCTTGAGCAAGTCATTAAAACGCTACAATTTGGGCAATGAAAAAAGTACATGACCCCAAATTAGTGGATATTTATGCAGTGTGTGTTTTCTTAAATGTCTGCCTTGATCTTTGTGTTTCTCTTGTACCATGTACACAACAAGTCTAATGATGCATCTTTAGAACCTTCTTGGCATGCTGTGGGGTTTAGTTAATGACTGTACAGCTCTTTGAAGATGTTCAGGCTATTTTATTTTTAATTAATGCTTGCAAGCTACTTTGAGCTTCTCTGATGAAAGGGCTTAAACAAGTACAAAATTTCAGGCAGTCATTAGCCCAATATGCAAGGGAGCAAGATGAGGAAGTGTGCTGGGTTTCGCTGGGATAGAGTTAATTTTCCTCGCAGAGGCTGGTATGGAGCTGTGTTTTGGATTTGTGCTGAGCACAGGATTGATAATATTAAAATGTTTTTGTTATTGCTGAGCAGGGCTCAGTGGCTGAACACCTGCCTGCCCATGGGAAGCAGCGAATTGATTCCTTTTTTTTTTTGCTTTGCATGTGTGCATGGCTTTTGATTTTCCTATTTAACTGTCTTTATCTCAACCCAAGAGTTCTCTCCCTTTTACCCTTCCAGTTCTCTCCCTGATTGCTGCTGGGGGGGTAATTAGTGGCTGTGTGGGGCTTGGCTGCTGGCTGGAAAGAAGTAAAGTGAGACTATGGGAGAAAGGAAATAGCTCCATTTGTCAGGTACCTGGGATATGCAGGTAAATCATAATGAAATTTAAAAAAATATTATGAGACAAGCATACTGTTCTGAGAAATGGCAGGCTCCCCATACATGTGCTGTCTAGAAGTTTTCCATGGAAATTCTGAGACACATCATTGAGGAATGACTATAGTTTTATGATATAGCTCTGGCAGTTCATTCTAGCTGAGGATTGATTTTATATGTTGACAACAGAATATTCTCACCTCCTCCCTCCTTGCCCTACATACTCCTGGGACACAGGAGCGGCTGGCAAATCCACAGAGTCTTATTTGCAGGAGCTGTGAAGTAGATTCCCATTAAAATCACTCTTTAGGCCCAATTTCATAAAAAAACAACCATGCAGCCATTGAGGAGTAAAGTATATCTTTACAATAACAAAATGTGTTTTGCCTTGGATCCTCTCAGTCATCCAGCTGGCACAGAGCTGCCACACCTCGATTTATCCAGTGTTTTTGGGGCTTGTCTGAAGGGAGTTCAATGGAGAGAACATAGTTGGTTGAGTGGCCAGTGGTGGATAAGACACCTCTTCTTGCGCTTGTCTTGTAAACAGGGCATGAATAGATGTTCATATGAAGAAATTTGGAACTTTCTCCAGGTTTCAGCCAGATTATGGGCAAAGGATCATAAAGTATTTTTGGTAGCGATTCTCCAATTAATGAGGATTCTCTATCCCATCGTGCACCTTCTAAAAAAAGGCCTCTCACATAAGCCCCATCTTGTGGCATTTTCTCCATTGTGTGCTCCTCCTTCATCACCTAGAATGATTAAACCATTGCTTTATTTTGTTTTTATTTGTAGTATATTAAATCCTGTGATAGTCTGAAATTTCTCCTTTAAATAAAATCTCTTTTCATCTGAAAACTCTATTTCTTGCTGCCCCATAACATGTTTCAAGCTGTTCAAGAAAAACAAAATTCTTCTGCATTTTTCTTACCTCAAAT